GGTATGTTACTTGCCCAAGATTCGATCGTCGGTATCCTCATACCTAGTTCAATCTCATTACCGGCAAGTCTCTTTACTCGTTCCATAATGCATCATCCTGCAACTAACTCATTAGTCACAATGCTTGCAAGGCTTAGAGTGATGTGCATTACCGAGAGGGCCCAGATACCTCTCCGATACAGGGAGTGACAAATCCTAATCTCGATCTATGCCAACTCAACAAGCACCGTCGGAGACACCTGTAGAGCATCTTTATAATCACCCAGTTACGTTGTGACGTTTGATAGCACACAAGGTGTTCCTCCGGTATTCAGGGGTTGCATAATCTCATAGTCAAAGGAACATGTATAAGTTATGAAGAAAGCAGTAGCAATAAAACTGAACGATCATTATGCTAAGCTAACGGATGGGTATTGTCCGTCACATCATTCTCTAATGATGTCCGTCACATCATTCTCTAATGATGTGATACCGTTCATCCAATGACAACACATGTCCATGGCTAGGAAACTTAATCATCTTTGATTAACGAGCTAGTCAAGTAGAGGCATACTAGGGACACTCTGTTTGTCTATGTATTCACACATATACTAAGTTTCGGGTTAATACAATTCTAGCATGAATAATATACATTTATCATGATATAAGGAAATATAAATAACAACTTTATTATTGCCTCTAGGGCATATTTCCTTCAAAATGCAAGCAAGGGAGCATGGGGCGAGCTTGTGAGGGGTGGTGGAGGCGATACTGGGGTAACAAAGGCACCCAAAAACACGAAGCTCATCATACGAGGGTAAGGTGCCGAAAAGAAGCTGGTGGGGTGCATAGTTCCAGCGAACACGACATGGACGTATGTTAAGTAGAAGATGCGGTGGCAAGTGCGTCGGGGCAAAACCGAGGAGGCATGTTAGCATGAAAGAGAAGGGTATGGACACAATCATTGAGAGTGCATAGCACACATTCAGCGCAGCCATTCTGCTGAGAGGTATAAGGACATGTGAGGCGAAAGATGGTGCCATGTGATGCGAGAAGTGTGCGAACGGCAAGATTGACAAATTATTTCCCTTATCGGTTTGGAGTGCATGTATGGAATGACCAAAGTGTGTGGAGACGTAGGCATAGAAAGCCGTAAGAGTCGTGAGTGCATCAGACTTGCGACGTAAGGGAAACGTCCACACATAGTGTGAAAAATCATCTAAAATCACGAGGTAGTAAAGATAGCTAGTGTTGCTCGCACCAGAGATGTCCATATATCACTATGAAGTAATTGAAACGAAAAGGAAGAGATGGTGGTGGATGCACTAAACGGAAGATGAACATGTTTCCCGACACGGCAAGCATGACAAGTATGATCGTCAATCTTATTACATGTGAATGAGAAACTCTGAAGAATATGACAAAGTGCGGCTGCATTGGGATGACCTAAACAAGCACGCCAGAGGTCGACACCGGCGGAGAGGGCGACAGCGGAGGTGGAGGATGAGTGTGCAAGGTAGAGCTCGTCTGGGCTGTCACACCGGTGGAGAACCATCCGGGTACGGGCGTCCTTAACAGAAAAACCAATTTCGTCAAATTCAACAGTGGCGGGATTTTCACGAGTAAAAGAACGAGCATAAACAAGATTCTTGATTAGTGAAGGTGAGACAGGAATGTTAGACATAGATAATGGCATGGATGTGGAAGAAAAAGAACTATGACCAATATGTGTGATAGGTAAAAAAGTGATGTCGCCGACGATGATGCGAGTGGATGTGTTAACCAGATAGGAAGAGATGATGTTACCGGGATGTGATGACATGTGGGCGGTAGCGCCCTTGTCCATGTGCCGATCACTACCTTCGCCAGAGTTACTCGGTGAAGGAGCCGACTATAGCGCCGCAAGAGGAGCGGGATCCCAGGGCGTGGGGGTCAGCGGCTTTGGTGGGGGTGGCAGTGGGTAGCCACCCATCATGGGCTGTGCGGGCAGCGATGGGTAGCCGCAGCCGGGCGACTGTTCCGGTGCCAAAGAGGGCGCCTGATGGCCGGTCAGGCGCGGACCGAGGAGGCTCGGTGCGGGGCCGCAAGGAACCGGCGTGTGTTGGGCATGGACCACACCGGTCCACGGGTTGGGGCTGGCGAAAGGATTGGAGGCACCCGAGAGGGAGGAGTCCATGGCGACATCAGCAAATGGAGATGAGAAAAAAATGTGGTGGCTAAGAGCAACTCCAACGGGCCGATCCAAACGGACGACGATTCCGTCCGCTTTTTGTACGTTTGAGTCGGCCAGACGAACACGGATGCCCGCTTCGGCATTTGGGTCGGCGCCTGCGCCCAACGCCGGCCGATACCCATTTTGATGAAGCCAAAAAAATGAACGCATGCATATTAAAAAAAGATAAACATCATTAATTAAACATTAAAGCCGGCCACGAAGGCCGGCGAGAGTCCACGTGTCCACACATTTGCATTTAAAAAAACAGCCTAAGCTACGAGGCGGCGCACTGCTCTAGGCGGCATCGTCGTTGTCCTCGGGGTCCGTGAGGTCGATGAGCGTCGGCGCCAGCCCGGCCCAAGCGAACGACGTGTTCCAGAGCGCCGCCATGTCGGGCTGTGCCGGCGCAGGCAATGCCGGGGTGGGGGGGGTGCGGCCGCCTGTGCAGCTGCGGCCTGGCGCGCCTCCTCCTCAGCCTCGCGCTGCTCCTCCTCGAGGTCGCGCTCGAGCATCTCCTCGTACTCACCGCGACGGCGCTCCTCTGCCAGCCAGCACTGACGCCACATCTCGAGGTACGCCTGCTCCTGCGCCGGCGTCGCCCCCAGCCAAACCGGTGGCGCGGACACCCACTCGCGCAACACTCCATTTCAGGAGAAGCGCGCGATGGGCTCGGGCTACGGCTGCGGCTCCGGCTTGACGGGGGACGGCGGGGCCACCGGCGGCACCATGATGTCGCCCGCCGCGGAGAGGGCAAGGGCCTGCGTCATTGCCGCCTCGTAGCGGGCCTCCTCTTTCGCCTCCGCTCTGCGCCGCTCATCCTCCTCGCTCTCCCGGTAGATGATTGCAAGGGCCGCCTGGTCCTCCTCGCAGACGACGAGAGGCGTTGGCCTCCGGTCGACCTCGCGCACGCCCCGTCGCCTCGCCTCCTCGTGCTTGAAGGCGAACCACCTCGCCCAGTTGAGCGAGTCGGTTGCGTAGGCCTTGTCGAGGCGCTGCTCCGGCGTCAGCAGCGCCCGCCGGCGCCGCACCTCCTCCGCATGAGCACGAGCCGTCCGCGGCGCCGCCGGCACTGGGATCCTATCTGGATCCAGATGTCAGTCGTGCGGCAGCGTCATGTCCGGATACGGCAGAGGCTGGCGGTTCTGCCAGTGCCACTCCGCCTGGTGCACTGGCACGTTGACGCGCTGCCTCTGCCGGCGAGGCGCCGGTGGAGGTGGGAGGAACTCGGAGGGGAAAGGGGTGGCGGGGGACTTGCCCTTGGCCTTGCTGCCGCTGGCGCCGGAGAAGAGGCCCATCTCGCTGTGGTTGTGGCGGCTAGGGTTTGCCGGCGACGAGGGAGCAAAGGTGGGCAGATGTGGACGGCCCTGCCGCACGGTCGGCTTAAAAAGGGACGAGCGCCGTCGCTGATGCGTGGGCCCGTCGTCATAAATTAAGCTGACCGCGTGGGCAGCGGGTAGTTGAACGGCTGCTATGTGAGGACACGGCAGATAGCGAGAAGACGCCGAAGCGTCCGTTCGGCGTCCGCGCCGACGCATTTGGGGCGTAAATTTGGGTCGCAAATGCGCCGGCACGGACGTGACGCGGACGTGATTTGGGTTTGGGTCGACGCGCTGGGCCGCCACTTTTGTCTATGCCGACCCAAACAGACGCAGGCGGACGAAATGGATCGGCCCTTTGGAGTTGCTCTAAGGTTGATGAGGGTTAGGTTTTTTTGTGGCAGATGAGAAGGGAGGGAGGGAGGCAGCGGCGGCGGCTGCGATGGGGAGAGGAAAGGGCTGCGGCGGCAGCGGCAAGGTGCGGCGGCGGCGTGGGGAGGGAGAGAGGCAGCGGCGGCAAGGTGCGGCGGCGGCGTG